TCACGTTGGATTTGAATGTAGTGTGCCTTACAGCCATTGACAAGAAGAGCATTGAAGCTACTAGAGAGAGAAAGAATTGGAAAGTTGCCATTTTCTCTCTCAAGGTGAGAGAGAGACTGAGTAGAGGAGTATGAGAAACGTGAGTAAATTGACGTAGAAGAGGTTGATTTATATAGAGAGAGGCTGAGTGGCGGAGTATGAGAAACGTGAGTAAATTAACGTAGAAGAGGTTGATTTATATAGCATAGGGATTTGCTATTATTCCCTACTTTGAGGGATTGGAGATTAGTCTGGGACTTGTGGATAAATATGAGAATGGGAGGTTAAAGATTTGATGAATTATTTCGATATCATGAATTGATACTATAACAGATGGGCAAGCTTTATATGCTTCCACTATAACATAGGAGTTCTGTTTTTCTCCTTATCCAACCGTCCATTCTAAATGAAGGATTAAGATTGTTCCAATCACAATGTCATGTCTGTACACTATTTTTTTCTTTTTTTTTTTATAAACTGTTTTGACACCACATTTTGGATATCCATTTCTCTATTAAACTCGCACAAGCGAAAAATATAAAAAAAATATTTTAAATAAAATAAAATGATCAAAATACCCTTGAAAGTTTCAAGGGGTGTTTTGATCATTATATTTTATCAAAAAATTATTTTTAATATATTTTTATAAGTGCGCCCCAATGAAAAGATTGCACGTACCAATTTTATATTCATACAATTTGTATAAAAAAATTAAAAATAAAATATTTTGAGACGTCGGATCTCAGATCAAACGGTGAGTGGCTCTCTTGATCAAAATTGGACAGCTCGTTAGTAAGGGAGGATAGAGGATAGAACTGCTATGCCGTAGTTGAAGTATAAAAACCTTTCCCATAACGGATATACACACATTTAAGATATACATACATTTAGGAAATGGTTTGGGGTTCATTTTGTGAGATATTTTTTGAGTGAATTATATTCTGGTGTAATTTTTGGAAGACAAAAAATCGGCAAAGATAAACAAAGGAGAGAAAAAAAAACAGAGCATTGTATAAGTGAGTTTCAACGGTTTTTAAAATTTCAGTGAATTTTACCGAACTTTAATTGAAGGTTAAAATGGTGGCCAAACTATTTTGCCATGAGTGATTTACGTATGGATCTTATAATTTTAGATAAAATACAAAATGCTCCACTTAAAATTTTAGGTAAAATTCAAAATATTTCACTTATATAGAGAAGGTCGGTTAAATAGTCTTTTTTAAAAAAAAAAAAAAATTACCCCTCGATCAACCCAAATTGTAACTTTTTTTAAAAAAAAATTTTTCATTAAACTTTTTTTTAAAAAAATTATAACTCAGGTTAACAGAGGAACAATTTAAATAAATAAAAAAAAACCATGTTGACTGACCCTCTTCATAATTTATTCCAGCACTTTCTATCTTATCCAAAAATTTAAGGTCCGTACGTAAATCCCTCCTTTTGTTATATCTTAAATGGTCATAACTGCACCAAAACTCAACTCAAGCGAATACAATTGTTTCGTAACAAAGCTGGATTCATTTTCTTTTGGACTTTCGGCTTAGTTTACTTTCAATGGAATGGTCAATTATTTTCAATCGCTTTTCCTCTTCAATATGGCGTTATATGGTGTTAGGAGTAACCAAAGCACCCAATCCGACCAGTTGAAGCATGACCAGTCCAGGTTTAAAGAAAAAATCTTATACGATCCAAAATAAGTTAAAATGAGCGTTTGCCAAAAACTGGGCTTGTCAAACCTTGTTACGGCTAAACAAGAAACTTTTTTCTAATATATATTTTGAAATTTATTATTTTAATATATTTTAAAATTTTAATATATTTTAAACTTTTTTCTAAAATATTTTAAATTTTATTATTTTTATATTTCTTATTTTTTTAAAGCTAACAAAATTTCATGCTCCTAAGAGAGTATACAGCTCCCTTGGGAAAAACCCTATCTTGAGTATTTTTAGGAAGCAAAATTTGGGGATGTAACCTCTTTAATCCATATGCTTTATACTCCATGAAAAGAAAATTCCAAACTACGTTTTATATGAGACTTAAAAAAATAATGCCTCACGATTGAATAGAAATCTTTTAATTTTTTAAAGGAGATGTCTAAGTATTTTCTTAATATAAATATTATTTTTAGTTGTCAACTTTTTTTGTTTTTTTATATTTATGATCTCCATGTTGAAGATTATATATCATCTAAAACTTAGGATCAAATTATATATAAAATATATATTTATTGCCAAGCCAGCATTTCTACAATATGCGGACTGGCCGAATAGAAACTATGACTGTTACTCAAATAGATAAGCGGACTTTGATTTTCCATGTCTTTACAGGGTTGCGATGGTTCTATGCTACTAGATTCAACCCCGGGTAACATAGTCGAGAAGGACTCACTGGCTATTAACCCGAATCTTTGAGGTTTCCAAGTCATTGATGAGACCTCTAAAATCCCTTGAAAAATATCTAATTGATAATCTCGACGTCGAGATGCACAGGTAAGGAGAAAAAAAAGAAATTTCAAGTCTTAAAAATAGTACATCTTACAACACATTGTATGGACTGTCCATTTTCAAGATTTTAATGTGTTTGTAGATTTGCTTAATTTGAACTATTTTTATAGTTTAAAATTTTATAATTAGATATAAAAATAGATTCTCGTACCATCCTAAAAAATTTCGATACCAAAATTACATCTCATGACAAAATCCGAAGGTGCACTATAATTTGATTGTTTAAGATTGCAACTTCATACAAACCACACCCATTTTTATTTTCAAACAATTAACTCTAATTTTTATTTTTAAAATTTGGTCCAATCTATCTAACAGGTGGTCCGACCGGATTTAAATAGATCAGAGCCCTCAACAGTTACCCGCCCGATTCCAATAATACTAGAAGAGAGATAAATCATCTACCCATTGTTCAACTAGAAGATTATAAGAACAATGGATCAGCGGTAAAAGAGAAACGAAGACATCCATGGGAAAATACTTAACAATTGGCATATTGTCCAGCTAAAAAACAACTTAAATAAAAGTTTTAAGAGCATGATTCATTGCTTGAGCTATTGTAACAAACTTAAATTAAAGTTTTAAGAGCATGATTCATTGCTTGAGCTATTGTAACAAAGATAATGTATGATAAGTGGGAAAGGCGCTAGGGTCGTGGCAGTAGCACCCCAGTGTCGTAGCAGTAGCACCCCACACTCCAGTTAGCACCCCACACTCTCCAGTGTCGTAGCAGTAGCACCCCACACTCCAGTTAGCACCCCACACTCTCTAGTGTCGTAGCGTAGCAGTAGCACCCCACACTCTAGTCAACACGTTGTGGTTTCTATTCTCATTACTAACACCACCCCACTAATATTTTCAAAAAGCTAACTCCTAATTTACTTATACTTTAAAACAGCTAACTCCTAAATTGCTGGAAAAATTGAATAGGGGCCTCTCTTTCCCACTCAATTATCTAAAAAAAAGGAAAAAGTTTATATAAGGATGCCACCTTATAATGTAGATTTAACGATGCCCCTCAAAAATCCATAAGAAAAGATAGTTTTAATTTTAAAAACGCTTGATTGATCATCTCGACATCAAGATGTATGACTATGAAAAATAAAAAGATTTTAAGTTTAAGAAATAGTGCATTTTACAACATATTATCTACAGCGTCCATTTTCACGATTTTCATATCTATAGATCTACTTGATTTTAACCATTTTTGAAATTTAACATTTTATAATTAGATATAAAAATAAATTTTGAGATAATCTTAAGAACATTTTATATCAAAATTATATACCATGATAAAATTTTAAGGTGCACCTCTGCACCAAAAAAAAAAGGTTGAGTAGGTGTTTCATATTTGAAATTGGGTGCAGTTGGTTCCTATGAATGTGTTTAAATCAAATCACTTGGATGCGACTTACTATTTTGGGTTGATTAAAACTAAAGTTCTGATCAAACACTTTGGGACAGTGATTCAACGCAACCTCGTGTTAGAGTTCTTGGGAAGTTCTGCTCTGGTTTAAAAAGGCCATGATAAAGATGGGAGAGATTGACGTTCTCACTGGAAAATAATGGAGAGATCAGGACGACCAGTTTAAAAAGGGCATGACAAAGATGGGTCTAAAACCTCAAAGTGGTGCATGGGATTTGGAAAAGTGAAGGGGCATTGATGTTTAATTACTTTCTTTTCCCTTTTCTTCATGTTTTCTAGATTGTCTCTCGCTTGTTGTTGTTATTCACTAAATTTAAATAATGTTGTTATTTGCTAAATTTAAATTGGGATCATAATAAGTCCCTCTGTGGATATTCTCTTGTTGTTTACTTCTAAAATGTAAATGAGCCTAGAAGCAGCCTTAGAGGCCCTTCTATAGTTTTCTACTTAAAGAATGTGCCTCGAACCCTGCCGCTCAAAACCGATTTCAAGCCCAAGCCCAAGTCCAAACCCGGATAAAAGAAGAGGGTTGCATTGTTAGCCAGCATAAAAAAAATCTTTCCACCCTTTTGCAAGACGAAAGCTTCGTTTTGAGGGAAATTAACCCTTTACTCCAAAATTTCAGCCCAAATAAATCCCGCTAGCTCTGTCTTGACCTCGATTTATCCCGTAGGCTCAAAAGATATAGAATTCATTTTTAAGGAATTGGCAGCACATCCACTTAATGAAAGGCTTCCATGTTCATCACGTTGGAGGAGAGAGAGACCGATAAAATAAAACCAGTATGTAACAGATAAAGAGAGAGAAGGGGGTATAATAAAAATAAAACCATTATGCAAGAGAATTAAACCATTATGTAACCGATAAAGAGAGAGAAGGGGGTATAATAAAACTAAAACCATTATGCAAGAGAGAGAGAGAGAGCTGTTCAAGCAATTCACCTAAAAGAGATTTCTATTAATTTCCGTTGTTCATTCTATTGGATGAATATTTCAGGGAAAGCAAAAAAAGAAAAAAAGAAACCTGCTGGAAGGACTTAAAACAAAATAAAAACGATGATTCTAATTACCCTAAATTCATACGCTCCCAATCAATTCACTGTAAAATCAACCAAAATTCACGGTAAGTGGGAATGAAGCCCCCTGAATCTCATCCCCAATCAAAATCGTATGCTCACCGGCGGGCACCAACTTATACGCCGAACTATCGACCACGTACAAGCTCTCGCATACGTTAAGCTTAAACTTTACGGTCTCACTACGCCCGGCCAGGACATGGACTCTTTGGAAGGCAACCAATTGTTTGATCGGAGCACCTTCGAGCCCCACAGGTAGCACATCATATACCAAGACCACATGACTGCCATCTCTAGGCCCCAAATTGTTCACAGCCACCTCAAATTCGAGGTGTTTTTCGCAGCTCGAGTCAGAAACCAAGACCGAGGCACAAGAGGGAGGCCCTGTAGGGGCATCATCTGTGTAGCTGACTCTATGGCAAAGTTCGTTCTGGCCTAAGCTGAGGTCCACAGCATCGGGAATGGATTTGAGGGTGTAGTTGAAGGATGAATAACTCATGCCATAGCCAAAGGGGTAGACGGTCTGGCCTGTGAAAAACTTGTAGGTTCTACCAGCATAGCCCTGTTCAGGGAGGGGCCTGAAGGACATGGATGTCATTGGGATCTGCATCACATAGTCGTTGTAGTACCATGTGAGGGGGAGCCGGCCACCTGAAAAATGTAATACTTGGATTACTGTTCAAATCTACCTCAAAAATGTATTGAAGAGATACATTTTCTTCCATAACAATTGATTTGTTGAAGAGAATATGTTCTTTCAATATGAGCAAAAAGCTATGGTAGAATAAAAGAAAATTTTCATGTTCCTTATTATCAATGTGAGCAAAAAGTGGTGCTAGAATAAAAGAAATTTTTCATCAAGAAATTTTTTGAAAGTGATACAAATTAAATTTCTAGAGGAGAGAGATTAGAAAGTCAAATAACTAGGAGTCATATGGAGTTATAAAACTAGATAAGTAAAAGACGTAGAAAATGAAAGAGATCCTCAAAGTATGATAAGAGACATACCAGGGTTGTATTTTCCATAGATGACATCTGCAATGGCTCTCCCTCCTTCACCACCAGGGTAACCAACCCAAAGCATGGCGCCGACAAACCAATTATTCTTGGCGAAATTTATATCAACAGCTCCGCCTGACATTATAACCAGAATCTTAGGCCCCCCTGCAACAGCCATCACCCTATTAATCAACTCAGTCTGTTGACCTGGTAGAAGGAGATCATTCCTATCATGGCCCTCAGCTTCAATTTGTGTATCCAAGCCCATGACAAGAATAGTGGCATCTGCAGTTTTCGCTGCACAAACTGCGTCTTCGAACAAGCTAGTATCCGTGCAATGAGAGTCTTTACACCCTGGATGGTACTCAACAGTAGCATACTTTGAAAGGCCTTCGATAGGGGTCACGTACCTACAAGGAATACCTGAAAGCCCAACAAAGCCAAGAAGGTCAGGAAGGAGGGAATCAACCTTTTGAGGCTATATTCTTGTTGAATAGGTGAAAAGCTAGGTTATTCTTGGTGGGAGATCATTATTTGATCCATGTAAGTGTATATCTATGCATTCATTCATATTGATCAAATATTAATCTCACCCACAAGAAAGTATATATTTACATGGATTACGTAATAATATTTTACACACTCATATTGAACTGCTCATAATGAACCTATAAAAATGTTCAACATGCCCTTTTTTCTTGATTACCTGCATAGTTTCCTCTCATTACGTCAGTTGCATTAGCATTATTCCCTATGACCACAATCTTCTTTTGTTTATTCACATCCAATGGAAGGGTATTATCCCTATTTTTCAAAAGCACTATGCCCTCTCTTGCTGCCTCGGCGGCAAGCTCAATGTTCGACTCACTGCACACATCATCCTTCCCTAGTTTTGCGTAAGCAGGTTGCCCATCAAAGAAACCGAGTCTCATGAGCACGACGTACAAGTTCACCAATGCCTTGTCCACATCGGGTTCACCTATCTTGCCTTGTTGGACAGCTGAATGGGTGTAATTTGGATAATAGCTTCCACAATCCAAGTCTAGCCCTGCAATAATAAGCAAATAAAGATACATAAATTTAATTTCAGATGAAATTTAATATTTCGTTTTTAACTTTATCTTTTACCTGTTTTGTTGAGATTGGTATCAATTTATTCTAACAAAATGGAAATTTCAAAATTAACTTGTATGGAGGTATGGAATTTAAATTTAAAATTGGAGGGAAAATTATGATTATATAGAGAAATCAAAACATTGGAATTTTGGAGGGTTGAAAAATAATTAAGAGGAAAATAATTGATAATATATATATATATATATATATATATATATATATATATGAAAGTAGTTCTTACCAGCTCTCATGGTTTGGGCAACAGTGTCCTCTTGAGTGTCATTGAGAAAATGATGACCATGATACATCACCTCCAACGAATCGCAGTCCGAAACAATATACCTTCAAATTATTCAAATACAGACTTTAGCACTCGTGAATTCTCCATACACTTAAAAAAAGAAAAAAGGAAAAAAATGGTTTGGGCAACAGTGTCTTGAGTGTCATTGAGAAAATGATGACCATAATACATCACCTCCTACGAATCGCAGTCCGAAACAATATACCTTCAAATTATTCAAATACAGACTTTAGCACTCGTGAATTCTCCATACACTTAAAAAAAGAAAAAAGGAAAAAAAAGAAGAAGGATACACAAATATTGAGACAAAGGACCCAATATCTCCTATCTCTAATCTCAACTATTACAACAAAATGATGTGCTTCCAAATCATTTAACTGCAAAATGTTATTAATCATGAACGATTAATGAATTATTCAAGTACGAGCACCAGGAATCACAAACAATTCGTACACTTGAAAAGATTGAAACTCAAATATTGAAATGTACTCATGAAATATAAATAGTTTGGATAAAGAGTGCGGTTTGCATAGAGCCTAGGCTCTAAACAATCAAATTAGGACCTACCTTCAAATAGTATCTGAGAATATGGTTTCAATACTGAAAATTTACCAATACTAGAAATTTTTGTGATAGTCTTAAAATATATTTTCATTTTTATTTATAAAACTTAAAGCTTCAAAAAAAAATATTAAAAATTGACGGTCTAGAAATACATTACAAAATACACTATTTTCAAAACTTGAACTTGAAATCCATTTTTTTCTCGTATGAGATGATCAATTTGAGGATATTTGGACTTCAAAACAACCTTTTGAAGTAAAATTTTTGAGGTAGGCTCTAATTTGATTGTTTATAGCCTCCTCTATATAAACGTTAGAACTAACAGTATATGTATAGTATGAATTTAAAAATCAGTATAGATTTGAAAATATCATAAAAGACATGCCAACTTTAGTACTTGATACTAACCCATTAAGCTTCCAATCTCCTCTAATGGTGTTACCCAATAGTTTTGGGTCTGCACAGGCTGGGATGCCATTAACACTATTGTAAGAGCACATCACGCTGCTAACATCACCATCCTTGACGCACATTTCAAAGGGTCTTACAAAGGTCTCTACCATATCTCTCTCAGTGACCTATCAAACAAACCATTACAAAGAAAAAATTATTACGAGAGAGGAATGATCAAGGATGCATGAAAGAAATCATGACCATTAATTATTCCATCATATGGTAGTAAACATTGTGCTCCAAATGCAGTACACTTCATGATAGCCGAAAACAATGGGTATATAGGCAAATAGCATGGGTCGTAATGTTTTACTAGATCTTCTATATAATAAGGGAAAGAAAGAGAGAGAGAGAGAGAGAGAGGTAGGTAGGGTTGAGAATTTTTCAGATCGGGTCATCCACTCAAATCCGGGTCAAAGACTATATAGGATCCAAATCCAAATCAGTTTCAATTTATAAATTATAAAATTAAAATATAATTATAAAAGTTAAAATTATATATATATATATTTTTTAAAAACAAGTCAGATCCAGATCAGATACACCTATACCACTTGAGTTACTCTTCCAATCATCATTTTAGATCCAGATCGAAATCTTCAATCCATACCCAAATTCATATAGGATATGGATTTTGAGTTTTGAATCCGAACCAGGTAAATTTTGATCTACCTTGGCATCGAAGTGGAATCGGTCAACACCCTGCCAATTATCGATATCATAGGCTGCATAGTGCTTGCAGCAGGAGGCGACCTTGAGCGGCCGCGATGCCAAATCGTTGGCGTAGTCCTCAACAGTGCCTTCGACATCTTGCAATCCCCTCACATAGTTGGTGGCGTAACGGCCAACGGTGTACGGATCCTCACCGGGGGTCTCAAGCACGCGGCCCCACCTTGGGTCCCTAACCACATTAATGTTAGGGCTCCAATACGTTAGACCAGCAAGGCCTAGGTTAAACATGGCTCTTGCCTCCGTGGAAACCACCTGAAAAACTAACATGCAAATTCAACTATTTCCACCTGAAAAATTAACATGCAAATTCAACTAGTGCTCAATATCCAGTAATCTGAAACTTCTCTATCTCTCACGCTATAAGTGTTTAAAGCATGCAGCATGGGTGCTTCTTTCTCTCTCTCACAGTACCTCTCCGATGGTCTTCCAAAGTGTTTCATTGAAGGCAGCAGCAGTGAGGATCACATTAGGGAAACAAGTAGCCCCTGGAACGATCTTAGCATCAAAGTGAGTCCCAGGCCCTACATTGGAGACACCATGAAGGGCCTCCGACCACCATTCGTACTTCGGAAGTCCCAATCTCGCCACCCCCGATGCCGAGTTCCCCAACTGGTAAACCTTCTCTGCGAGAGTCATCCTCTCGACCAAATCCTTGGCTCTAACTGAATAAGACAAGCTCGTGTTACAGAACGAAAACTTGTTCATGTCAAGTCCCATGCTCATATACCTCGAAGGATCACACACAATTAAAGGAACTGGAGACGGAGAGTTCACGTTGGATTTGAATGTAGTGTGCCTTGCAGCCATTGACAAGAAGAGCATTGAAGCTACTAGAGAGAGAAAGAATTGGAAAGTTGCCATTTTCTCTCTCAAGGTGAGAGAGAGACTGAGTAGAGGAGTATGAGAAACGTGAGTAAATTAACGTAGAAGAGGTTGATTATATAGCATAGGCATTTGCTATTATTCCCTATTTTGAGGGACGTTGTGGATAAATATGAGAATGGGATGTTAAAGATTTGATGGATTATTTCGATACTATTAACTGATACTATAACAGAAGTACACACACTTAGAATATGGTTCGGTGTTGATTTTGTGAGATATTTTTTGAGTGAAGATATTCGGGTGTAATTTTTGGAAGACAACAAATCGGCTAAGATAAACAAAGGAGAGAAGAGAGAGAGAGAAACAGAGCATTGTCTCAGTGAGTTTCAATGATTTTTAAAATTTCAGTGAATTTTACGAAATTTTAATCGAGGATGGTGGCCAAACCATTTTGTCATGAGTGATTTACTTATGGACCCTAAAATTTTAAGTAAATACAAAATGCTCCACTTTAAATTAGGTAAAATACAAAATGTTTCACTTATACAAAGTCGGTTGGTCAATCAATCTTTTTTTATGTTTTTTAAAATTACCCCTCTTTCAATTCAAATTTTAATTTATTTTTTTTAGTTTTTGTTTTCTAATTTTTTTCATTAAACTTTTTTTACAAATAATCATATTTTGGGTTAACCGATAGGCAATTATAAAAATAAAATAAAATAAAATAAATAAATAAAAAAGGCACGTTGATCAATCTTTTTTGTAATTTATGCCTATAAGCGGAGCACTTTATATTGTATCTAAAATTTTAAGGTTCATACATAAATCCCTCTTTTATTCTTTTAAAGAAGATATGTACTTGTTAAAAAACTCAAAATTCAAAATTTTTAATATAATCATCTAGTGATTTTTAGGTGGTTCTCAAAATTTCGGGTTAAAAAAAAACTCTTAAGTTAGTCTTCTACTTGTGCCCCTAGGAGTCAAGTACAGTATGCTCCCACACGAGCATAATATACATGCTTTTTTTTATATCTCGTCATATTGATTTGATTTTTAGATGACCGATTTTGACTAGACTAGATCCTTTATTAACATACTCTTTTTTATATTTGGTCTTATCCATTTGATTATTAATATTTGATCCTATTGATTTGACCATTAATTGACTGATTTTGACTCGATCAGATCCCGATAGACAAGGAGGGTGTCAAATATGATATCAATTTATACTTCCTCGATTTTCTTCTCACGTCACTGGATGTGTTTAACAACACGAATTTCGGCTTTTTGGTCAATAATTTGAAATTGAATGGGAGTTAATTGTGCTCATCTTTTTACTCTTTCACTCGATTCTCCTTTTTTTGAGCGATTTCGAAGGGTACATATATCGGTCATGCAGAGTGGCAAACAAATCATATTGCTTACTGTTTGAAAAATAGCAAACAGAAATTTGGGTTAATCCAAATGCATATATGGATACCTCATTTATTAGTCTTCTACGAGGATTTACGTGCCTTTAAATGGGATACCTACTAAATAGGATAAAATATTGTTTTTATTTTCAAAGGTACGATCAAATCAATTTAAAGGTGGGAATCCGCATCATTATCATTATCATAGCCTTATCCCAACTAGTTGGAGATATACCTATTCATTTCGAATTATATCTTTTTTGTTTTGCTACTCATCTTAACTGCATATCTTAACTCATATATCTCGCCGTCCTCATCTTAACTACACTACCCTCATATATGTTGTCAACAACTGAAGGAATCAATATCATTTAGGAAATTATCTTCATCCTACACGTGTAACTAGACCTTAGAACCCCTAAGAGGGATTGTGCATTTGTGTAGACACTAGATTTTTTTCCCTTTTTTGGGAAGTTAAGCGAAATTGTATTTGAGATGTAATGCTGATAATGTCAAGTACCAGCCCAATCCCAATTCATAAAGATAGTTTGCATATAAGAAAATTAATCTTTGACACAAATTTACATGACGTTGAATTTCTATTTCAAAGTAGACCATATTTTGTACGATGAAATTAAATTGGGGTCACACGATTTGAACTTTCCCTTTATTTAAATATTATTACTAATATTTCTATTGCAGATAGGATCTTATTTAATACATAAACAATTTATGTCAAAGTTGATTTCTTAAATGTCCATAGCTCTTGGCCTGGTGGTTGAACCAGTGATTAATTTCGTGTATTATGTGACATTTTAGAAGACTAAATCGAAATTCATTATGGGATTGTTTACAAAAAAATCATTTATCTTTTGTAGTTTGAGTAACAATTCTTCTTATCCCCTAAATTTCAAACAGTCGGTTGCAAGTGTGACTTTGAATAGACTCAAAGTTCCAAAAATAAAATTCTTAGACTTCGTGATTTACCCTGAGCCATCCAAATTGATATCTAATGAGTGTAAATGATTATGACCTCTATGTACAAAACTATTTTAAAATTCATTATTTACCTTAATAAAAGGTTTCAAAGATATCATTTTACGGATTTTTCTCTAAATTTTGACCCCACCAATTTGGAGTTTTGGACCCCTGAAAAGGTGTGCTCGTTTTAGAGAAGCACCCATATATTTCCAGCCCATGTTTGATGTTATAGCACTTGTTTATGTGGAATTTAGGCCTAGACTTCCTAAATGGGGGCAACTATTGGCTACCAATGCATTCTTGAGCCTTTGGACATTTTTCTTAGTAGTGGGTCTCCACTCATCAGAGTAATTTCATTGTTATAATGGAAGTCATCCTATTAAGAAAGGGGAAGTCATAGGAAAGATCATTAAGGCCATCATTTTTTATAGAAATGGAAAGCTATGACTTTAAGAAATATGGTTTTTAACTTTTTATGTAGTCCTCATGATTATAGGGAGTTTATCCGGGATACAACATGGATGGCGTGCATATTTTTTGGTGGATCCCCTCTGTATGAGTTTAAAACGAAATTGCATTCGAACTCAGGCACTTGCCAGTGTGAGTCGGCTTGCCAATTTCTGAATCGGCCTTTTAAGGTAAAAAAATTGAAGGTAAATAAAGAAAAGAAAACAATATCCATGAATTCAGAAGTCGTTTGCCTCCTTATAGTGAAATAGGCATGTGAGTACAATGAACCATGGGGTTTTAGTCAACTTAGACAATTATAGGTTTTGGAACCATAAGGTGCAAGTGACTTCCTAAGTTTAAGGCAACTCGTTCAATTCTAAGTCTGTATAACCATTATATTACCTTCATTAAAATGGTAGACAATTAAGTTTGGTTCCCACAATGGAACAAGGAGCACATTTGGGCTTTTTTTTTATAAGAGATTGCATTTTGTGTGTACATTATACATAAATCTTTTGTGTGCACTTGAATCTTAAACATCCATCAAGCACGATAATGTTCAGTAACCTCGATTAAGAAATAAACAGGGTGGCTTCGACCCCTTCTTAAGCTTTAATGACATCTACAACACAATTAACATGGTTAAACTAATTTCAGGCAGCCGCCTTCCGATCACATGGTACAAGGCAGACTACTTAGACCAGTTCCCCATGACCTCAATGCAACTGAGGCCCATAGACAACCTTCATTACCCAGGAAGAACCTACAAGTACTTCACTGGTGAAACCATCTTCTCTTTCGGATTTGGTCTAAGCTACACCACCTTCAACTACACCATCAAATAGCAACCCAAAGTGCTGCATGTCACCCTTGATGAGCACCAACATTGCCGAAATGATAGCCGGTCGAGCCAACAACTAGAAACTCTACACCCAGTGCATCGGTATTGGCCACCGACTCAAGTTGTAAAGAAGTATTGGAGTTTGAGGTGATGGTGCAGCATTGGGGGAAAACAGATGGTAGTCATGTAGTTTTGGTGTACAGTGTGCCACCTAAGAGGCTTGAGGGTGAACCCATTAAGCAATTGGTTGGGTTTCAAAGAGTTTATATCTTAGCAGGTGGAAATGATACTCTGAAATTTGAGCTTAATGGTTGTGAGAGTTTCAGCTTGGTGGAAAAGACAACTTATTAACGTTATTTCAGCTGGTGAGCTTAGGATTTTGATAGGGGATGAGGAGATGGGACTTTCATTCCCACTTTTGTTTGATTTCCATGCTTGATGAAAGAGTCATTTTTTGTGAGATTTCTTAAATGGAAACTATCTCCTTTTTTCTATGTGATTTTTGGGGATAGTTAGTCCCTAATGTGTGGAGGTGGAGGAAGAGCACAAAAGTGGTGCATCCTGGACCAAGATGGTGTAATCTGTTCATTTATGTGCTGCCTTCTATGAATATTATGAAGCAAATGCAATTTGATCCAAATTTTTAGTGCTGAGAATTTTTAGCCGGATCCCTCCCAGATCCGGATCTTATCAGGTCCAGTTTTGGTGTTAAATTATATATATTGTTATGTATAAATTATAGGCATTATATGTATAGATAAAAATAATTATACTATTTTAATATTCAGGCAGAATCCACATGTACCTAAATTTGATCCGAATTACTATTTGGATCCAAATTTGAATTTTAGATCCATACCTAAATCTAGATAGAATCTAAAATTCGGGTTTCACACCCAAACTGGGTAAATTCTCACCCCCACAAGTTTCCCAGCTTCTCTCTCTGTTATCTCTAAAACAATTCATTGTGTATCTATCTTATCTTAACAAAATAAAAGGTAATGTTAAAATAAATATAGAAAATAACAAAAAATAGAATATTTATGTAAGATTAATTTTCAATCACATTTTCCCTAAAATGCCCCAAATCTAGAGCAGCTATTTGAAGACAATTATTTGAGAACCACCACAAGACTTTTTTACTTGAACCAAATTTTCAGATCTTTTATCCCAGGGGCACGTAAGCTGAAATCATTAGCCAACCCAGCCTGTGACTGAATAAGCAACGGATGTGATTCTTTTTGTTATTATTTTTTTGGGTGGGTAAGGCCTTTTCAACCTAAAGACTTAACTATTATATTTTACTTGGTAAATAGAAAAATTTAGGTAAAATAAGAGAATTGTAAATTCAAATATTTCTTGATTTTGGAG